TGACACTGAGGAGTAGTTGTGTAGAAACTGGTTGTGATCCTCGGTGTTTGAGAGCTGCTTCAGCTCAGCGTCTTTCCTCTTCAGCTCAGTGATCTCCTGCTCCAGCTTCTCCTGAAGATCTTTGACTCGACTCACTTCAGCTTCCTGCTGGGATCGGACCTGCTGCTTCACTTCAGAGCTTCTTTTCCGGATCTGACTGATCAGCTGAGTGAAGATCTTCTCACTGTCCTCCACTGTTTTATCAGCAGAGACATTGATGGCCTCCACCTCCTGCTGAAGCAGCTTCACGTCTTTCTCTCGCTCCTGGATTCTCTGATGGATGTTTCCTCGCTTCACCTCCAGCTCCTTCTGCTTCTCGCTCCTTTCTGCTGCAGCGGAGACGATGTCGTGGCTTTTATGTTCGTCCACCATGCAGACATAACAGATGCTCTGCTGATCAGTGCGACAGAACATCTTCATCACCTCATCGTGACGAGAGCAGATGTTCTCATGGAGCTTCTTGGAGGGCTCCACCAGCTGATGTTTCTTTACATGAGCTACATCAAAATGAGGCTGCAGGTGATTCTCACAGAAAGACATCAAACACGTCAAACAGGACTTTGTGGCTTTTAGTTTCCTTCCAGTGCAGACATCACAGGCCACATCTTCAGCTCCAGCATAGCTGTGACCAGCAGGAGCAGCTTGGAGTCCAGTGGTCTTCAGCTGCTCCACTAAAGCTGCTAACAGGATGTTTTTCTCCAGGACAGGCCTCGGTGTGAAGCTTTTCCTGCACTGAGGACAGCTGTGGATCTGGTTCTGATCTTCTTTATCCCAGACTTTTCCAATACACTTCATGCAGTAGCTGTGTCCACAGGGAATAGTCACCGGATCCTTCAGGAGATCCAGACAGATGGAACAGCAGAAACTTTCTGTGTCCAGCTGAACTCCTTTCTGCGCCATTTCTCCTCTCAGTGACTGAGCAAGTTTCACTTCCTGATAAATGAAACACTCTTGAGCTCTGATCATGTGCAGCTGAACAGGAAGTAGAGGGAGGAGTTATCAGAGCAGAAGTGTTTAACTCTTTATGCAGCAACATCTTCCTCTCTGCATCAACCCAACTTTAGGTTGAGTGATGTCAGCGCCTAAAATAAGTTTCTCCATGAAGTCAGACGTGCTTTTATCAAACCTGAGCAGGTGCACATCTATTCTTCATTATTTCTCCTTTTATAGATTTAGAAAACCTTTGAAATGATCATTTATTAGATGTGTTATTGAAGCTCCTTGGTGACAAGGCGCCAGGGCTGGATGAGATCTGCCCATAGTTCCTCAAGGCTCTGGATGTTGTAGGGCTGAGTTGGCTGATGAGGATCTGCAATATTGCGTTGACATCCACTGGACTGGCAGACCGAGGTGGTGGTCCCCCTAGTTAAAATGGCGGGCTACAGGATGTGTTCCAAATACAGTGGGATCACACTTTTGAGCCTCCCTGGTAAAGTCTATTCAGGAGTTCTGGAGAGGAGGGTCCACTGGATTGTAGAAACTCAGATTCAGGAGGAGCAGTGAGGTTTTTCTCCTGGCTGTGGAACACTGGTCCAGCGCTATACCCTTAGAAGGGTCCAGGAGGGTGTGTGGGAGTTCGCCCAACCAATCTACATGTGTTTTGTGGATTTGGAGAAAGCGTTGGACCGCGTCCCTCGGGAGGCCCTATGGGGGGTACTCAGGGAGTATGAGGTACCAGGCCCTCTGATACGGGCTTCACTGGTCTGCATTGTCGGCAGTGAGTTGAGCTTGTCTCCTGTGAGAGTTGGACTCTGCCAAGGCTGCCCTTTGTCTCCAATTCTGTTCATAACTTTTAAGGACAGGATTTCTAGGTGCAACCAAGGTGTTGAGGGGATTTGCTTTGGTGGCCTAAGGGTTGAGTGTCTGCTTTTTGCAGACGATGTGGTCCTGTTGGCTTCATCAGAACGTGATTTCCGGCTCTCACTGGAGCGGTTCGCAGCCGAGTGAGAAGCAGTGTGGATGAGAATCAGCTCCTCTAAATCTGAGACCGTAGTCTTGAGTCAGAAAAAGGTAGAATGCCTTCTCCTGGTCAGAGATGAGGTCCTGCCCCAAGTGGAGGAGTTTAAATATCTCGAGGTCTTGTTCACAAGTGAGGCAAAGATGGAAAGCGAGATTAATAGATGGATTGGTGCTGCATCTGCAGTGATGTGGGCGTTGTACCGGTCTGTCGTGTTAAAGAGAGAGCTAAGCCGGAAGGTGAAGCTCTCGATTTACCGGTCGATCTACGTTCCTACCCTCACCTATGGTCACGAGTGTAACGTACCAAAAGGGTCTTTTTTTCACCATCTAACTGACACAACATAACCTTTCATGCACCTTTCAGGGCAACACCATCTGGACTCCCAAAACAACCCTTTGCTCACTTATTGTTCCTCAACGCAGACATGAACATGTTCCCTCGAGGTTCCTGCACTCTGTGTAGAAGCCAGACTGCATTCCTCACTCTGAATAAAAAGTGAACCTACTCGAATTCTACAGGATTTTACAGTTATGAGTTAAATAATCATATTATATTATATTCTCATTCACAAAGTGTTAAACACCTTTTGTGTCTGAGGAGGGCGTGGCTTTCTGAGGGATGTTGGTAAAACTCCAAACGTGTCAAATTCTGATTGGACAAAACTTGTCCTAAAGTCATAACATGGTGGTTCAATAAAACAAGAATTACTTCCCGATTGGTTCAGTTTCCAGCGGACTCCCGATTGGGCCAAATCGGGAAAGAAGCCTCTTTTGAAACAAACTCTTTTGACCTCCAGTCAAAAGCATCTCTGCAACGCTGTAGCTGATACAGCCAAACGGCTCCTTAAGAGCCACACTTCCACCTTGGACGCAAACAAGCATTCCAGCTCCTGTTGTGACTCGGAGACATCTCAAGACTGGACGGGTCGTATCAGAGTTAATCTACGGCTTCGGATACCTTGAGGTCACCTGACTTCTGACAGTCCTGGATCTGCACTGAGGGTCTCCACAAGGGTAGTAGACACACAAGAGATTGCCTCTGATGAGGTTTTATCAATAACTTACTCTCTAGTTGTAACAAACAACAAATTCTTTTACACCCAGATTTCACAATTTCTCTCAGATACAAAGAACGGTTGCTAAACATCTAGCTTCCATTACATCACCTCACATCCACCACATCGCATCTCATGATTCATATCTTGTCGTAACTTATTAGTTCAGGGAAAATAATTAAATTCATTTCATAAACTATTCACCTGACTCTGTCTGAATTAATACAAAGTGTGTTTATGGTCACTAAAGAAGCAAAGAACCCTAGAATCTTCTGATTACACTTTCAAAGATCAATCAGATTGATATTTCATATTTATATGGAATCATCACATCTTATTGGTCATAATTAATATGTTTTAATTGTTAAACGAGCTTTAGGTAGTGACCGAAAGAACCAGATTGCAGATACAAGCGGCCGAAAAGAGTTTTCTCTGCAGGGTGTCTGGGCTCTCCCGAAGAGGTAAGGTGAGAAGCTCTGTCATCCGGGAGGGGCTCGGAGTAGACCTGCTGCTCCTCCACATCGAGAGGAACCACCTGGATGCTTCCCTGGTGAGGTTTTCTGGCCACGTCCAACCAGGAGGAGACCTACAGGAAGACCCAGGACACGCTGGAGAGACTATGTCTCACCACTGGCCAGGGAGCGCCTCAGGATTCCCCCGGAGAAGCTGACCCAAGAGGCTGAGGAGAAGAAAGTCTGGACCTCCTGCTTAGGCTTCTGTCCCCACAACCCGACCCTGCATTAGCGAACGAAAATGGATGGATTGATGTGTGATTAGTTAAGACTTGTTATAAAACATTTTGCCTATTTTATGCAAAAACAGATGTTTGTTTGGATATTTTAGACGTTTGATTTTTAAAGCACTCACATTCCATAAAAATAGTCAAAATATTTTAGTCACTGGTTGGCAATTAATGACTATTTTATTTATACTGAAATGATTAAATACACTTTTTACATAAATAAATGATTTGTTCTAAAAAATCTGAAATTTGATTTACGACACAAGCAACCAAGTTTTTTTACAAAGTTCTCATTCAGCAAAATAACCTCAAATTCACGTCTGTTGAAGGGATTTAGGAACAGATTGTGTTTAGTGATGCATGAAAATAAAGACAACGTTTTTTGGTTATGCTTGTTATTGTCTGGTCGTTTATCGCACAAAAAGCCAAACTGTTCCTTTTGCAGGCATTACGATCCTTACAGACTTTGTTAGCAGAGCTAAATGTTTTACACATTCTACAGATTTTCAACCATAAAGTATGAGAAGAAGGAAATGACCAAGATTCATGTTACAATCAGAGGATTTTTCAAACAATTCACTCCAAAAGTAACACATTCATGAAGTTTTTCTGCATCATTTTGCAGGAGAAACAGATTTTTAACATCAAATCTAACATAAAAATGAAATGATTTCCTTGCTGATGATGCCTGGCTTTTAAACAACACCCAGAAAATATCTGCTACTTATTATCATTAATGTTATTGTTAGTAATGCTTTTATCAGTCCTGTACCGATAACTTCAGTAAGTGCAATATTAGTTACGACGTTGGGGCGACGGTGGCTCAGGAGTTAAGTGCTTGCCTCGTAATCGGAAGGTTGCAGGTTCAAGCCCTACTCAGTTTGTCACTGTCGTTGTGTCCTTGGGCAAGACACTTAACCCCCTTTGCCTGCTGGTGGTGGTCGGAGGGACCGGTGGCGCCAGTGCTTGGCAGCCTCGCTCCTGTCAGTGTGCCCCAAGGCAGCTGTAGCTACATCGTAGCTCATCCCCACCAGCGTGTGAATGTGTGTGTGAATGAGTGAATGACTGATAGTGTTGTAAAGCACCTTGGGGGGTTCCTGGACTCTAGAAGGTGCTATATCAAATACAGGCTGTTTATCATTTACCATTAGTAACTGGATCTGAAACATCACAAGTTCTAAAATATTAGTCTTATTTAAGAAGTTGAGTTAAGAAGCTGAAACCACAGCTTCTAATTTATTATCTATCAAAACAAAAAATTGTAATAGAAACTTAAAATTCCTAGTAGACCGTTGTCACAAGTTTCCATCAAAGTGCTTAAAGCATCCAGATGGATAATTAGGATTAGTACCTTTGTTATGACCTTGTAAGTCTCACCTGGCTGACTGGGGTCATGTAGAACACCTGAGGACCTGGAGTGTCTGTCTAACCTCTCGCTGCTCCTCCCACAGGTAAGCCGCCACATTTGTCTTCGGTCTGCACCTCCTTGTTTTAACCTTTGTTTTTTACAGGTTTCTTTGAGATTATCTGGGTTACCTAAATGATATTTTACTAACTTTATGTGGCGTGTTTGTCTTTTTATGGCCCACTGAGCCCAGTCCCATCAACCTTCGTCTAAAACCTTCCATATCCAGTCCTACACTGGTCTTCTGCCCTCTAGTGGACAAATGACAGGCATCAAGAGTAAATTTGGTTTCTCTTTATCTTTTATAGTATTTTATATACTTACAGAACAAATTTAAATAGATTATTTTATGGTTGGTATACCATCTTTAACCAATAAACAATATATATAATATGATTTTACTTCTGTCATTGTGTCCCAATGCAGCTGCAGCTACATTGTAGCTCATCACCATCAGTATGTGAGTTTGTGTGTGAATGGGTGAATGACACACCTATAGTGTAAAGTGCTTTGGAGTCCTCTGACTCTGAAATGCGCTAGACAAACGCAGGTCATTTACCATAATCTGTAACTCTGATGCTGAACTCAACGCTGTAAATATACTCAAGTTCAAAGTCAGTTTACAAATAAGTTATTGAATATTATTTATTTGTCAAAGATCACAAACAAGATCAGAAAATATTTATTAAAGGTTTCCTGCAATCAAAGACAAAACTAAATAATCAAAATAGAAACATTAAAGTGTTTAAAACAGGTTAAACAAAAAGAATCAGAGCTCCATCTAAACACCAA